TCAGTGGAATGGAACCTGGATCACAGCACCTACCTTGACAATGTCCCTGCTCATCCCAGCCACAGTCCAGCTTAGCCAACATAAGCAGCCGATCCAGGCCACACAAGCATTTTCCTCCCTCCTTTGTAATTCTCTGGATAGTCTACCCAGGAGCTGTCCAAGATCTCTGCCCATTTCCAGCATCATCACCTTCTCTCAGCAAAAGATCTCAGATTATCCAAAACACAGCGCTGACTCCAGCACTCACTAAACCACATCTATCTTCTTGCCCCCCCAAGAGTCTCAAAAGGCAGTGTCTTCTTTCTTTCTAAGGTCAGCCCTGTCTCCTATGCTTTGATGCCATCCTTTCCTACCACAACTAAATTAAAATGTAATAATTATTAATTATTTAACAGACCTGCTGGCACTGCAAAAGAGCCTAGGCTGCGGCGAAGACTATAAATATCTGCAGCATGGCTGAATGAATACTACCCTGGAGTGTGAAACATGTTCACCAACTGCAGATCCCAGCAAGTAAATGTGGTCACCCAGCATGCACATCAGGGAGGACTGGTTGGTGTCCGGGTCCGTGCACGCATCGGAAAACCAGTCCCCTTCCGATCTCCACTAACCCGCAGGCGGTGCGCCACCCCTTAGCTCTGACCCCACCCCCAGATCCTTTGGGTTCCTGAGGCACAGAGGTGGACTCCTCCCCGCTCCTAGAGCGGCCGCAGCTACAGACACTCTCACACCCGCGCTGGGGCTGCTGCCTTTTTCCTCAGGCTCCTGCTGGTTCCCGGGCAAGGCTGGCGACTGAACGCTTTTGGAGACTGGAGGGCACCGACAAAGTTGAGTTCACCAAATGAAAATAGCCTGCAAAGCGTATTGTAATATAAGTAAAAAACGTATTGTCAACCGGTACTGCAGGACAGAGTCGCAGCCCACTCCTTGAACAAAGCCCCAGGCCAGGACACAAGGACGTGGGAAAGGACGCCCAGGGGCCTGGAACCGGGCGGGCTCGGCCTCTCCCCTCAATCACCTTCTCCCTTCCCTCCATGCATCCATCCCAGTTCTGGGTGCTTGGGGAAGAGGTGGTGATTGCCCTGCCACTGAACACCGAAGTCTCCAGCGTAATCTTTTAGGTCCTAACTCCGCCCCTAGCGCCCCTGTCACACAGCAGCAAGTGCTGGATACCGTGCGATGGACCTGCCTCACTGGGAATCCCTACCTCAGGTTATCATCAGAACCGTCCCGCCCCTTTCCACTGGCTTTTACTGGAACTCCAGCTGCCGCCCGTTTCCAGAACTTCACTCTGGCGTTTCGGTTGACACCGCTTCATCCGCAAAGCTGAGCAGTACACAAAAGAAATCATTGTACCTTGGTCACGTTTTGGTCAGAAGTTCACATTTAGGAAACTATAAAGGACTACAAGCATGGCTTTAAGGAGGTCCATGAATTCTCTGAGCCTGTATGTACATTTTTCTCGGTAGAGCTTTTCTGATTCTCCAAGAATCTTGATTTAACAATTTAGGAATCTGCCTTTGAGGTCACGAGAAGAACACATAAAAATAGAATTTTAGACAATTAGCAGCAGCCCTGAAATCTCAGCAATAGCTGATTAAAAAAAAAAAAAAAAAAAACTAGACCATCCAGATACATTGCTCATAATGAAGGAAAATGTGCATACATATACACAGGCACACGCAATAGCTGTTTTCTCTGCTATCAAAGATAAAAGGATCTCATCAAGCAAAGTGGATGAAGGACAGCGTGAACAGTGTGCTAAAAACCAGAAGCTCACAGAGAAGCAGATTGGGGTATATAGGGAAGAGTGTAACTTAATGTAGTAGGAGTGAAACTGGTACAGGCATATTAAAACCATAATGAAACATATTGCAGTTTGGAATAATAAAGATTTTAAAGCCATTTTATGAGGTAAATTATGAAGACATACTTTATTTACCTAAAATGTTAGTTAAGGAAGGAATAAAAAGTACAAGGACATGGGTTCAAAAATTCTGGCAGACATTTCTGGGTACTTAGGTAGGACTTTGGGATTATGAGTCCTGTTTTAACGTGTCTAAAATTAAGATAATTCATTACTTTTCCTTCATGTAATTCTACTTGCACAAAATTATGACTACCAGTCCAAATTATAACAAGACAATGACTCCCAAGTAGGTTGAAGAGGAAGGACAGCAAACAGAAGGAAGAAGATTCTTCCTACATGACAAGAGAAGGGATGAGTACAGGATGTGCACAGTCTACTTAAGAAAATGGAGATAAAGGGGCTGGGGATTTAGCTCAGCGGCAAAAGCGCCTGCCTGGCAAGCGCAAGG